ACGTCGTGTTGGTTTCACGAACTGAAATAAAAAATGGTTATCAACGTATGAAAGTTCGTCTGTGGAAATCGTACGGTGTAAATGTGCTAATTATCAAGGACATTGATGTCGCTAACACTCAGGATTGCGAATATCTTTTGCAAACTGCGGAAAAAGAAGGGCCAGTGGACGCGATATTCAATCTTGGTATGGCATACAAGAGCGGTATCCTGAAGAATCAAACTGCTGAAACCTTTGCGGAATCCTTTCAATCGAAGGCTCAAGCAACTCAGATATTGGACAAACTTACTAGAAACATCTGCCTTAATCTGCGGCATTTTGTAGTATTCTCTTCTGTTTCCTGCGGCAGAGGAAGTATTGGACTAACTAATTATGGCATGGCTAACTCCGTCATGGAAAGAGTGTGCGAGAAAAGAGCGAAGGAAGAATTACCTGGATTGGCAATTCAATGGGGAGCTGTGGGCGACGTTGGTCTCATCGCAGATAAGCAAGAGGAAGGTATAAAATTGACTATCGATGGCACTTTGCAGCAAAAAATATCCTGCTGTCTCGACAAACTCGATGAATTTTTACTTCAAAGCCGGCCAATTGTGAGCAGCATGGTCATAGATGAAAAGAAAGCGGAATCTTGCGGCAGTATGGTAGAAACTATTGCTAGTATTTTAGGTAGTTATGCTCATAGAGAATTATTTTTTGCACGTATGCATATATAGTATTAATTTAATTGTTCAGACAGTGCGTGATTTCTTTAAACTATCGTCTGAGTGTTACTTACACTATTTAATTTATATTAAGACAAGTAATTATGAAGCTGCTAGTACCGTAATGCGTGTGTGGACTCACAGTTTTTAACACCTTGACGATAGTTTGAGGATAATTGCGATATAATTACGCATCGCACAATTAATTTCGTAACTGTTTATTATATTTATTACTAAATAAGATAATAATATTCTATTTTATGTTTTAGACATAAAAGACATGAAAGTTATAAATCAAAATTCGCTTTTGGCCGAACTTGGAGTGGATTCCATGATGGTCATTGAAATCAAGCAAACTCTTGAACGAGAATTTGATATTTTTTTTACTGCACGAGAAATAAGAAATCTTTCTTTCGCGAAACTCATGAAAATGTCCGATGGAAACGTTAGTGACAATAATATGCATTTCTAACAAAAATTCTTTTCAGAAAAAGAAAAAAATTATACGCCAAGTATATATAAAAGTATCGTACTTTACGTCTTTCCTAAATCAAAAATATCTAAACCAAAAATATTGTTTTAATAAATAAAAGTTGTCCAAAAATAAATATGAGATTATTCGAGTTGCAAAGTATTTGATTAGATATACAAAAAATACTCATCTGCAAAAAAACCGGGCACCTAAATTTTAGTTCAAATTTTTAATATCTTTCAATAGCGGTAACTCTATGAAAAATCGTCGTATTTAGATGAACTTAAGCTTAAATTAAAGCTTGAACATTTCCTTTGATAACTAAGAAAATCAAAATTGAGTTCCAGAAATGCTTTATAAAATGGCGGATGTTGCAGTCAGGCTTAGAAAAATAGGTTCAATGTAATTAAAATGACCAATGGGATTACAGTGAAGCAAAAACTTGGCGTGCTCGGATTGTATTAATTGAAAAGGTGTATATAAAATACGAGCATGCTAGCACGAACCTTTTTTCCTTCTTTTTGAATCCCGAATCACCTTCCGAAGTATTGCAGGCGATTTACTGGGCACCCTGTATATTATTAGACCATCCGTAATCGGTATGGTTAGTTTGTGCACAATTAGTAAATATTTTATCGAAAGAATCAGTTAACACTTATACTATAGTTAACAGGCAAAGGCAATAAAACGTTACAAATTAGGTAGTTCATATCAACTGTAGAATATTCAAAATAAAGATATGTTTATTAAAAGTGATTCTTTATACTTATTATTGAATCCGTTAGGCAATAAAACGTTACAAATTAGGTAGTTCATATCGACTGTAGAATATTCAAAATAAAGGTATGTTTATTAAAAGTGATTCTTTATACTTATTATTGAATCCGTTATCAATCACATTGTGAACGATGTTTCAAGACCGACGAATATGCGGCACGCAATTTGCGTGTGGTTGAATATTGTAAA